GTTGGTGGAAATACGCATCTGCTCGCAGAGCTGACAGGACATTTCCACGGTGGACACGGGGCGTACTAGACCATCAACAGGTTAGAGGTTCCTGGTTCACAGAATTAATTACTGCCCCCTTTAAGGACAGTGAACTGCGTAGGCAATATGCATAGGTAAGATGGCCCAGTGTGGCATGGGTCCCGACGCTCGGTCAGTTTGTGAAGAGTTGAAGTATGAAGAGGTTACCACAGAGCTTGGCCTACGACTGCTGAAAACCTTCCTCTCTGCTGTCCGTGATGCTTTCAGTATCACCTCTAATGCCATGCACAACACAGATGATCATCAGATTCTGAGATGGTCGTTGACTAGCAGTCAAAATATTGTCTCCGTAATGCTAAGACTGTATGATACATTTAAACGCAATGTGCTAACGGGTGTATTGACTAGTCGTCGAGAGGAGCTTGACGAGGCGAGGGTGAGGTACTAATGAAAAATCCTAACCTTCAGGACCCTGTGGAAGTAGCAATGTGCCCATGATTTTAGTAAAATTTGGCAAGCTGAAACAATGCCTACTACGAGTCGTCCTTGGTCAAAAGACAATTTTAGATACAGACATTAGATCTTTAAGATGGCCAATTTTGAATAAGGGTATTATCTCTGAACTCCTCGGCAACTTGGTTTCGGTCGTCGCCAGACCTTTCGGTGCCAGTAGATTCGGAATATTTTGGTTACCGTTCTTAGTTTCATGGATGGTCGGTAAAATCGTATTTGCAATTCTTAGGGAACGACTATTTATCATCTCATTTTCAACGCCAAAATAAAGTTACCTTCTTCGGGAAAATGTCACTAATAATTTGTATTAACAGGATGCTTTCTATGAGATTACATTCTTTTTAATTTAACGAAAGATTGGCCGTTTCATAACATGGTCTGCGTCCTAATTTGTTCCTAGTTATTCACATTTGTCTGGCGGGACTGCTTTCGATAGTCCTTTGAAGGAGCAGGATTGTAGTGGCCATGGGTTCGCAAAATTGACTTGTAAACAATGCCTTGTTTCGCAAGCAGGCCTGAAAGGTAGTTTTGCCAATGCCCGATAACCGATTTTCTGTCAATAACCTCTAGGCCTTGAAATGTCAGTTAAAACGCAAAATTTCGCTCACACACACCAATTTAATACAATAGAATATATGTAAGCTCACTTTTTCGAAATAAAATAACAATATCTGTATCGGAATTCACATAGAAAAAGCTGCAGACCCATTGATGAGTCGGAACCTTCGCAGCTGCAACATTTAACAGCAGAAACTTCGCTGAAAGAAGCGGCTGATTTTTTAGCCAACACATATCATAGAGGGTCTATATCATGAATTCTGCGAGATTTCGCAAAATTCCACTTACTCTGCGTACCCAAAATTCTTACAGCAGTAAAGAAATGATACCACTTAACAAGAAAGCATAATTTGGGTTATAACTTAATATGAAACAAAATAAAAAAAGTAATTTTTACAGAAAACTCGAATTTTAAATAACGGCCATATCACAAATCACTGAAATAAGGTTAATTACAAGGGTGCACAATGAAGGGGGTGCATAGAAAAGGCAAAATAAAAAAATTGTTAAGGAGGTTTGACAGATTTGCTTAATTTTAGTTGACTCAATTGTGAAAAAACTCGCGACGCCGGCGGGAGTCGAGCCCGCACAGCACGGAAGGCTAATACGCAGCCTAGTAGTTGTTCTGGGGGATTTTAGATGATTGCTTAGGAAATCCTGCCTCGGCAGTCAGCTTGCTATTCCGTAATGGTTGACGACATACGAGCAGTAAGTTGGGCGGGTAAAATCGAGCCAAGTGTGATTAAATTCATGGTGAACGGTGAGCCTCGTAGCTCAAGTGGTACAGTGTTGGCTGCGTACAGGCCTTCCCTGCTGCGCGGGTTCGACTCCCGCCGACGCTGCGAGTTTTTTTCACAATTGGGTCGACTAAAAAAGGTAATAGCGAGCAACAATAACAAATATGAAGAATAACTACTTTTGTGATTGTCCATGTGCGGTTAAATCAACATAAAGTCTGCCAGTCTGCTTGTATATAATGGTAAATCCCTTCTTTGCCATGTGTCACTTCCTTTTGATAATTACAAAGATATTTGCAAAGATAGGTTGGAGGCCGCATGCACAGGTCGGCTCGTGTCTAAAA